TGGTCCAAAACATCCCCATTTGTTTCCCTTATTTCCTTAGCATGCATGATTCTTTCCTCAGTAAACACTGAGGAGAAACACTCATTAAAAATCTCCCCTTTTCCTGTGACTCCACACATAGACGGCCATGCCGATCTTTATGAGAACCTATTCTCTCCCTAGCCACCCTTTTACTCTTAATATGGCTATAGAATGTCTTGGGATTATCTTTAACCTCATCTGCCAGATCCATCTCATACCCTCTTTTTGCTCTTCTGATTTCCCTCTTAAGTGTGCGCCTACACTTTTTACAGTCATTTAGGAATTCACTTGAGCCTGATAGCTTAAACCCAACGTATGCCTTCTTCATTTTCCTGACCAGAGCCGCAATATCCCTCGTCAGACAGTGATCCCTAAACCTGCCAGCTTTTCCCTTCACCCTCACAGGGACATGCTGTCCCTGGACTCTTGATATCACACTTGTGAAAGCCTCCCATTTGCCAGTCATTTCTTTTCCTTCAAACACTCACCCAATCAACCTCTGATAGATCCAACCTAATGGCCCCAAAATGGCCCTGCTCCAGTTCAGCACCTTAACCTGTGGCCATGTCCTATCTTTTTCCATAACTATGTTAAAACTAAGAGAGTTATGGTCACTGGACCCAAAGTGCTCTCTGACTGACACTTCAGTCACTTGCCCGAACTTGGTTCCTAACAGGAGGTCCAGTGTTGCACCCTCCCGACGAGTGTCCTCTACATATCGATTTAGGAAACTTCCTTGGACACATTTGACAATTTCTACCCCGTCTGGGCCTTTTGCACTCTGGGTGGCCCAGTCAATACAGGGGAAATTAAAATTTCCAACCAGTACTAATCTATTATTCCTACAGGTGTCTGCAATCTCTCTACACACCTGCTTCTCTAGTAGCTGCTGGCTATTTGAGAGTGTATAATACAGTTCCAACAGAGTGACCATCCCCTTGTTTCTAAGTTCTGATATTTCTAAGTTCTTGCCCCCCTTTCTATCCTTCCTATAGCATCCATACCCTGGAACATTAAGCTTCCAGTCCTGTCCATTTCTCAGCCACGTCTCTGTAATTGCTATGATATCCCAGTCTCATGTTTCCAACCATGCCCTGAGTTCATCTGCCTTACCTGTTAGGCCTCTTGAATTAAAATAAATGCTGTTTAATTTATCAGTTGCATAAAATCATTACAAAGGCATGAAACTGGACAGACCATGTCATCAGCCTCGGTATCAGAAAAGACAATAGCAAACACAACACAGCAAGTCGTCCTGACTGACATCTAGGAAATTATGCCAAAACTGGAAAAGCTGTCGCAAACTAGTGCAGCAACAGTCTGATAATTTTCATACCTTGCAGACAATGTTCCAGATTGGTATGGTGTGTCCTATTGGCAGGACAGACTGACTGGAGGTGTTGGCACAGTAGGTATACAGTGGGGAAGGAATTGCCCTGGGACTCTTCAACATGAAATCTCACAGCATCAGGATAACTATGGGCAAGGAAACCTGATTGCCCCTTATTGCCTGCCCTTAGTTGATGAATCAATACTCCTCCATGTTGGATGTCACTTGATGGAAGCACAGAGGGTGACAAGGGCAGAGAATGTACTCTGGGCGGGGAACTTTGCTTCCGTCAACAAGATTTGCTTGGTAGCACTGCTACTGTCTAAGCTTGTTGAGACCTAAAAGGAACAGCTGGTAGACTAGGTTTGGAGCAAGGGGTGAAGAGAAAAATCTACCGTGTACTCATCAACTAACTGTCGCAGATGCACCCGTCCATGACAGGAGAGACAGTTTGCAATAGACCAGGCTAAGAAATTCCATCTGATCAGATCTAAGCTTTACAGTTCTGCCACATCCAGTTGTGAATGTTGGTAAACAATTAAGTAAAACACTGGAGGAGGACGAGGCTCCACAAATATCACTCAACAATGAGGGAGCCCAACTCATCACTGCAAAAGATAAGTCTGATGTACTTGCATCCAGCTTTAGCTGAAAGTGCCTCTGGATAATCCATCTCTGCCTCCTTCTGAGCATCCCTATATCAGATGTCACTCTTCAACCAATTTGATTTACTCCACATCAGCAAAAAAAAGGCTGAAAGCACTGGACACCACAAATGGATACCTCTTAAATTTTAAATTTAATGGTTGATCTCATTCTTTCTACATCTCCTCTGCAGCCATAGCATCGCATTCCTCACTCTGTTTTGTTACTCTCATACCCTTTGTATGGTATGGTCTGCCTGTACTGCACGCAAAACAAAATTTTTCACTGTATCCAGGTACATGTGACAATAATAAATCAAATCAAATTTTAAATGCAATGGGCCCTGACAGCATTCTGACTATTGTCATGTTCTGATGGGGCAACATACTGGAAATCAAGTCTGACCATGCCCAGAGTTACCATAAAAGTTCAAGATTTTTAAAAGTGTGCAAAATTTCCCAATTTAGCTGTTTTCAAACCCACATTGAGAAGTGCAGAAACCTGGTCTGTGTTTTAACAAAAAATATTGTAGAAGTATTCAAACTACAGGTAAGCAATTATGAATGGTTAGCATAACTCAACTAATTAAAACCAATCCCCTTGTGTACCTCCCCTTGCACAAAGGGAGGAAAAATAAATGTAGGTGTTATGGATGAATGGAAAGGCAGTTAGTGGGTCCTATCCCTGGGGTTGATGAAGTGATTCTTGGGCACTACTGCTCAGGTTTCCTGCTTTGGAAGCTTTCACTGGTTTGTCGGAGGCATAGGGGACCCATTCACACTTAAAATGTCTTTGACTTATTATAAGTCACAGCTTACAGCAACAGCTGGAGGAATGATAAAACTGGTTGTTTTGGGCTTAAAGTAGCTTTATTTCAGAGAACAAAGACAGCTCCTGATCCAGTGGAGATCTGATGATTTCTCTCTCTTGCACACGGCCCCAAGCTGTTCAGCTACCTGAGAGCCAATTCCGTAGTTAATAATGCAATCAAGAAGGTTGATGAAGGGGATGTAGTGGATGATCAATTTTATTGATCTACTGATTTTAGGAAAGTAAGTGAAAAAGGACCACATAAGGCTCGTTAACAAAATTGAGATTAATGAAATGTCAAATAAGATTTGAACACACTACCAAGCTGGCTTTCATCAGTCGAGGCACTGAGTACAGGAGTTGGGATGTTATGTTACAGTTGTATAAGTTGTTGGTAAGGTCGCACTTGGAGTATTGTGTACAGTTTTGGTCATCCTGTTATAGGAAAGACATAGTTAAACTGTAAAGTGTGCACAGAAGATTTACGAGGATGTTGCCAGAACTAGTAGGCCTGATTTATAGGGAGAGTTTGGTCAGGATAGGATTTTATTCTTTGGAATGTAGGAGAATAAGGGGTAACCTTATTGAGGTGCATAAAATCATGAGTGGCATAGATAGGATGAATGCATACAGTCTTTTTCTGAGGGATGGGGAAGTGAAAACTAGAGGGTATAGGTTTAAGGTGAGAGGGAAAAGATTTAAGAAGGACCTGAGGGGCAACATCTTCATGCAGAGAGTTGTGCATATATGGAATGGGCTGCTGGAGAAAGTGTTGAGGCAGATACAGTAACAACTTTTAAAAAAACATTTGAATAGGTACATGGATGGGAAGGGTTTAGAGGGATTTGGACCCAAATGCAGGTGATTGGAACTAGCTGAGTGGGCACCATGGTCAACATGGACCAGTTTGGGTGAAGGGCCTGTTTCCATGCTGTATTACTATATGTCTCTAAAACAAAAAAGTTGTGATATAAGGTTATTTTTCAGATTACACGCATCACCGAGTCTAAGATAGCAAGATAGAGAAACCATTAGAACCACATGTTTTCATTTATGTAAATGCTTTGGACATTTAGAATACACAGCAAAATTTCAATTATACCAAATTTGGAGGCTTGGCATAGTGAGGATCTTACAAATTGATTGCAACACAACATGAATATGATGCCAAAATGGGCAGAGAAATGGTAGATTTAGTTTAATGGAGAAAATTGAGATGTTTTAGTGAAAGGCATCAGTTAGATAATATAAGATATAGGAGATAACAAGGTGTAGAGCTGGATGAACGCAGCAGGCCAAGCAGCATCAGAGGAGCAGGAAAGCTGACGTTGACGTTGAACGTCAGCTTTCCTGCTCGGCCTGCTGTGTTCATCCAGCTCTACACCTTGTAATCTCAGATTCTCCAGCATCGGCAGTTCTTACTATTTCTGAACCAGTTAGATAATATAAATTTGATGACAATTTACCATACAAGGACAGTGAGATCTGCAGTTGAGAAGCATTTTGTGAAATTTGTCTTAGTTCATGTATAATAGTTTAAAATCAAACACAACCAACTTGTTAATTTACGTTTAATCTGTTTTTGCGTTTGATTGTGATAGTAAAAGTACTAATGAAATTTTGTGCATTATATTTTCCATTGTTGCTTGCAAGCAGTGGAAGTGGAGACAATTATTTCGAAAGAAATTTTGGGTGGATTCTTGAAATTAAATTTGCAGGTCTGTGGAGGTAGAAGGGCAAGGTGCTGACCGGATTGCTCCAGTATGGAGTGGACAGGAAGAATGTACTTCTGTGCAATAATGAGTCAGATATTTTCCACTTTGGTGACAAGTTCAGGTCCATGTGGAGAGTAATGATTGAAAGCTCTGTTCCTCAGACCCCGGTTTGCTGCCTGCTTCCTCTGGCTGACAGGCAGGAGATTAATTTTTAAGTGATTAATCCGCTGTGGGAAGTGGAAGCGGGTGTGGAGTGAGGGAGTAGTGATGGGAACATTGAAAAGCCGTCCAGAAGTTACCGAAAGTGTTGCTTTTGCTGAAGCGCGTTCTCTGACTGTTTACGCTAACATGGGAATATGGCCCAACGACTGCCAGCTACAAGATCACCCAAAAGTTGGTACAATTTTACTTTCTCTGGCCTTTGTTCTTTGATTTAAGTTTCAGAACAACAGCAGTTCTCTGGGTCGGAACGTACTGAAATCCAGTTGCAGTGAAGGCTCTGCTGGAAACGCTGCTCCATACACCACCAGCCCATCCCCCAACTTCCTTGAGCGGCTAAGGCCCGCCCCGCCCAGTCCCGCCCAGTCCCGTCCAGTCCAGTCCAGTCCAGTCCCGCCGGAGGTTGTCACGGGAACGGAGCGCGAGGCGAGCGGAGCGGGCCCGGTTCCGGTGACAATGAGGAGCCATCACTGTCCGCGAGCCTGTTACTGGCTCCTTCTCTGCCTTTGGCAGTGGGGGGTGGCGGCCATTGCGGCCACAGGTCAGTGACCTGACCGGGACGGGAGGGGGAAAGGTAGAATGTGTGTATTGGAGTTGAGGCAGAGGGAGACAGAGGAGAGGAGTGTGTTCATGGAGATTTGGGAGTGGTGTATGGAAGGAATGGCAATGAAGGGAGAGGGAACTGGTGGTAAGGCACAAAAAAGGTGAAAGGAAAGAGGGTGGAATGGGGGAGAGGAGTGCGGGTCGGTGGGTCAAGAGGTGGAGAAGGGGCGGTGATGGGTAAAACGGAGGAGGGTGGAGTGGGCAGTGGTTTGCAGATTTGGGGAAGGGCGAATGCAGTGGAGAAAAGAGATGGGAAGGGTTGGCTGAGAGCAGTAGGTGCTGGTGGTGAGAGTTTTGGGAAGGGTTTTGCAGGGAGGTGGAAAAAGGTGGAGGTGAGGTGTAGCAAGTGAAGGGATTGGGGATTTTGGGAGGGAAGGGTGCAGGAATGTAGAGAGAGTTGGATGTGACTGCTGGGTTGTGTTATGTTGGAAGGGTGTGAGGGGCTGGGCATAGGGTTATGATGGCTGTAAGCTATATGGAACTAGCTAGGTATAGGGAGGGAGGATGTATAGGGGTGGGTTGGCTATAAGTAGGGCGTGGTGGGGGGCGTGGTG